GATAATTGCAAAATGCTGTAAAGATTTCATTAGAGTATGTTTATGAGAAAGACTAATGTGCTTTTCAGGTGAGAGTACGGCCATTTAAAGAAAGAGAAGGAATATAACTGGCAGAGCTTTAAAACCAAAACGAAGACTCTCAGCAATATTTGTATAATTTATGTTGCAGACATTTTGAGCTGCCTCATCGAACCATTACAAAAATGTCATGTAATCAATGATTTCTGAGTGGTGTAGAGATAAAGAACATTCATACACATGTGGCAAAACCTGTCAAATTCTTAACCTATATTTCTGGAGGAAAAAAAAATAGGATTTCTGTATTGGAAGTTTGAACTTTACTCCACAGTCCACTTTGTGAAATTTACTGTCTGATGAGGAGGATTACAGATTAATGTTTTCAATCCTTGTCTCACTTGAAGCTTCAGGAACTATATGTCTTTTGCTCTTTGTGATGATTTTCCCCTCAGCCTCATCTTCTCTTTAAGATACACTGTCCTTCTTCCAAGATGGCCCAAAATTACCTTTGTATTTGAGCCTCTATCTCCCCGCTTTTTCTGTTTCCCCATCCCCAGAATCTATCTGAAGTCGACTTCTTAAGTGGAATCTTCACTGCCGATTTAGAAGCAGCTTATCTTAGCAATTGTACAGGTAATATACACTTTCTTACTTAAGTCCCGCATTTAAACTTCCAGAGACTGGAAATGTCATAAAATGCTTACAGTGTGACAGAGGAGAAGGAGTTAATTATTGGTCAGGGCTGGACCTAGCCACATCTCATTAAAATGTCTGGTAAAACATCCAGGGCATCAAGGAGGAAATGAAAAGAAAACATCAGAAGGCTAAAGATGAAAGGAGAGCAATACAATAATAAAAGAGAGCTTCTAATTTCTCAACTGTTGCAAATTTTTCTTTAAAGAACCCAACTCTCTCCTGGTTTGAAGGCTGCTTTGTCGCAGAGCCATTAGTGTGCTGAACCACAATCACTCAATAACAACAGCAATCAGACTGGTATGGAGAAGCACGATGCCAAATTGGACCTTGGGCACCTTGATATCTTATTTCCTAAGCACTGGACAAAAAAGTGATATGGCTTCAAAGCGGATAAAGAGAAAGATGCAAACAAGTTAGGAAAAGAGAAAGGTACAAAGTACACAAACACACATATACATATATTCACATACACTCATACACTCCGCTGTGAAATAAGAAAGATACACACAACCTCTAGGATTTTATTTTAGAAACTTGGTCTTTCTAAGTACCTACCAATTCTATGAATATACAGTATATTGACAAGGAAAGATGGGACATAAGGCACATTGTGATACTGGAAGAACATGTAGACACTCATAAATATGCAAGGCAAAGGAACACTCAAGGAATAGCAAATTTACCTAGGTATATTTCAACGTAGGAAACTTGCAGGGAACCATGAGAGATAATGCACAGAACAAATTGAAATCTGTAAAAGAAAAGAATCAAGGAATATTGGAAAAAAATATATACTTACCTGCACCATGATACTATTGTGAAGATTGAGATGTACATTGGTATACACATACTGATGTCATTAGAATCATTAGACTATGTATCTTCATAGGTCTTCATATTAAGCACTTTAAAAAATGAGACTCAGTGGCTCTCACCTGTAATCTCAGTGACTCGGGAGGCTAAGGCAGGAAGCTATCAAGTTCAAAACCAGCCTCAGCAACTTTGCAAGGCCCTAAGCAACTTAGCGATACCCTGTCTCAAAATGAAAAATGAAAAAAGGGCTCAGAATGTGGCTCAGTGGTAAAGCACATCTGGGTTCAACTCCTGGTATCAAAAAACAAATGGTATCAACAAAAAATGAATTAAAATGAAATATTTTATAAAAATATTAGTTTTAGAATTATCAAATAGCTAGGCACCATGATCCATCAAAAATTTCTTTTAAATAGTAAATGTTAAAATGAAAGGAGATGATGCAATTATAATAAATATTTTAATAAAAGAAATAGTAGATTACTATAGGGATTTAGTTTAGATCAGGGAAAAATACAGTTCAGCAGTGAAGTCTAGCCCACTGCCTATTTTTTAAATAAATATTTAGTAGAACACAATCGTGCCTATTTGTTCAGGTTTTGTCTAAGGATGCTTTTGCATTAGAGTGTCAAACAAGTGGTTGTAACAAAGACCATATGGCCTACAGAGTCCAAAATATTTACTATCTTGCTCCTTGCAGAAAGAGTGTTAGCAGATCCCTTCTCTGGATAGTCAGAATAATAAAATTAGCTAACATTTATTAAGTAGTTACTATGGGCCAAACATTCTAAGATGTCTCCTAATTATGAACCTTAGGAAGGCACTGGTATTATACCCATTTAACAGAAAGGCTAAGAAAATGGCCAAGGTTAGATAATTACAGGCAGAATATAGAACTGCCAAATTTAACAAATAGAAATACCGGAAACCAAGTTAAAGGTGAATTTCAACAATTAGTGCCTTCTTAATATAAGGGGTCCTTTGCAATTTTTAGTACAGAGAATTAATTATTCTTTCAAATGTAATATGTCATCTTGTATTTTATCTGGTATCTTCATCCAGTCCCACTGATTCCACCCTAAGTAAATATCAAACTGCCTCACTCTCCCATTTGGACAGGAATGGGGAGTCTCACAAGGAATAAGATGAACACAGGAGGTGTTTTCTGTCTGGTGAGTGACAGAGTTAGTCTCTACTTTGAGAGTCAGAGCTGGCTTTTTTCCCAGGAACATCTTAAAGTTGTAGCTTGGCTTTGGGCAGAGAAGATGAAATCGGCTCTGGATTGGTTTCTTTACGGTATTATCCACATTTAGGGTCTGGTGCTCAGAGAGCAATTAGGACTAGAGATATACATAGATTCAGAGTCTCCTGAATGTAAGTGGTAGACAAAACAGAAATAAACCCCATTTCAAGGAGTTCAGAGGTGGTTGTTAGCTTCAGTCAGACCTGAAAGATCCTTCCAGATCCTAACAGTGCTAAACTGCTAGCACTCAGCAAAGCTTTCAAAATCCACTCCATTTCCATAATGAATGCCCAGCCAGTATAGCCCTAGCATTTCTCATCAGTACTTAAGAAAAAGCTTATAGGAAAGAGAAGCTCAACTCTTGCTCATAGACTCAAGTGTCCTGAGATTTGTAGGTCCGACTGTGCTAAAAAATAACATTCCTGACTCGGAAAGTAAATCCTGCTTGTCTTTTCAGTTCTTAGAGACAGGGCCACAGACATGGGAAGCAGTATGCTGAAAAATACAGTCCATCAAGTGCAATAAGATTCAGCACAGGGAAGAACTCACAATTGATGGAGGGGCGTGGAATGCTGCTGTTGGAACTAGAAGCCTGCTCTAATGGATTATTTTGCATAAAGCAGCTTGAACAAGACAAGTGCTAGATATGGTTATTGCAGTTGTTATAGGCAATAGTCCATGAGTCCAATTATATACAGGCAGTGCCCCAGACACTGATTTTGCTAATTGCTATCTCTCAGACTTGGAATTCCTTTTTATTCCAGTTGCATATTTTTTCAATAAGAGGATGTGATTTCTATCCTAATGGAAGAGACTGAAATGCTAGCTGCTTCATGACATAATTGGTTTACATTATAAACAATTTGGTGAATTTTCAAATATAGCAAATACAAAAGAAAAAACGTAACACCTACTTGAAATTATAGATTCATGTTTTAGAACCCACCTGTCTTGTCCATCGCCCACCAGGGCAGTGAGGAAGGTTGCAAACAGGCCAAAGAAAGTGCCCAGGGTTGGCACGGGAGACATATGGTGTGCTGGGGAAAGCTTACAAGAGATCAGAAGAGTTCAGTGACGACAGGCTGACAGATAGCAAACCACAGCTTGCAAACCAATTTGTCCCTCATGGTGTTTTTCTAAGCAGCGCTCCCTCACCCTCTTGGTGTTTTTTTTTTTTTCGGTGGCAGACGGCTGGATGGAATACACATAACCTTTCCACAATGGCTTTAGTTCTGTGCCCATACCCACTCAGAGAAGGGTTTCAATATTTCCAGCTTTGGAAACAGTGACATTGCCAACATTAACTTGCTTAGTTAGCATCTCTGACCAGCATCCCAAGGAGGAAGTGTCCTTCGGCAAATGCAAGAAAGTAGCTTTCTATAGATACACCAACTTGCCCTAGCTCTCACTGGGTGTCAGACAAAGCCAGTGTCCTCCAAGGTAATTGGACTTTCCAATCCAGGTTTGCTCTTACTGTTCCCTTAATCTGGTGAGGTATTCTGGGAACAGGGAAGGGGGCATTCAAGGACATAGTGTTTTACTGTCCCCCTTTGCTTTAGGTAGGATACACTGTCTCTTAGTGCTCTGTCTGTATCCCAGATACTAATCAATGATTTCTGGCAAATTATTGGCCAATTTGCCAGAAATAAAAACATTTTATTGAATGAATATTATGTGCTAGGCATGTGCTAGTTGATGGGGATGTCCAGATGAATAGCACATTTCTTACTACCAGGCAGTCCTAGTCTAAAACCTGAGGCAGAAATCCACACAAACGAATATGAGAGGAGAGCTATTCTACAATGGAATCACAATTGGAGTCTACAGAGAGAACTGTCACTGTTTGAAATGGGCCATAATATATTTCAAAACAGGAGGTTCTGACCAAGCCGAGTCTTAATATTTAAGAAGGAATTTATCATATGAAAAAGGGAGGAGGAGGACAGGAACTCATTGTGGCATTGGGGAAAAAAGAAAAATGAGGGCCAAAGTATAAAAAAAAAAAAAAAAGGATAGGCTAGAGCAGGGACCAACATAGTATAGCTTGCAAACCAAATCCAGCTCCCTGCCTGTTTTTGTAAATAAAGTTTTATTGGCCAAAAGCCAAACTCATTCATTGCTTGTTGCTGCCATTGTGATATAATGGCAGAGTTGTGTAATTGAAACAGAGACTATGTGGCTCATGAATGCTAAAATATTTACTATCTGGCCTTTTACAGAAAAAGTTTACTGATCCCTGGAATCTTTGTATATGCATCAGTCCATATACAAGAAAATTAAATTTGATTTTTTTTGGCAGTTGTGAGCATGCTATGTCATTAACATAGACCAACCACATTTGTGTCTTTCCACAATGTCAGAATTTACTGAATAACAATAAATCCACAGGCTACACCACTTCCATCAGTTGCAGTTCAATGAATACATGTGGCTCACCTGATAAACCAGGCAATCTTGAGTTCTTTTATTCCAATCTTAATTTCTAATATCTACAACACTCAGGTCAAATATCACCTATTGCACAATCATATAAGCTAAGAAATGGTTAAGGCAGATAAGGGGTTCAGAAGGCTAAACTGAGAACAAAGGCAAAGAGCAGATATGAATGCAAAGATTCACAAAGAGTCACTGTAGAAGGTCAGATAAGATTAAAAACCAAGCAAATAATTTGCTCAGGGTCTTATTCTAGGCCAAGGTCTAGATAGATAGCAGTTTCAGTGTCAGCTTGGAGGAGTGTCAGCTTGAGATGTCAGCTTGGAGTAGGACTTGTGTGGTTGTCATGGGCAGGAGAAATCACACTGTTAAAGTCTGATGACAGCGATTTGAGGGTTTGTCACTGGGACAATTTTCCTGGGTAAACCTCGTGAAGAGTGACCAGGTGTTGGGATTGGGTACTGTGTCCAGTCCTGGGGTGCTTCTCTGTTTTAGTCAGCTTTTTCATTGCCATGACCTGATGAGAAAAAATAGCAGAGGAAAATTTATTTGGTGCTCACAGTTTCAGAGGTCCTAGTGCATAGATGCCAGATGCCATTCCTTGAGGCTTGAGGTGATCATTACAGAAATGTGTGGCAGAGAAAATCATCTCAGGACATGGGCACCAGGAAGCTGAAACTCTCCTCACCACGGACAAAATGTGTACCCTAAAGGCATGCCTTCTGTGACCCATCTCCAGCCACACCCTACTGTCCACAATTCCTACCCAGTTAATCCATTCAAGTGGATTAATGCACTGATTAAGATTCTCATAACCCAATCATTTCACCTCTAAACTTTCTTGAATTGTCTCACACATGAGCTTCTGGGGGACACCTCATTCCTAAGCCATAACATCCTCCTTTTATGAGTCTCCAGTGAGGGAGCTGTTTCATTCAGTGGTCTGGTGTGTACATAAGAGGCATGGTTTTTCTGATATAGTTTGAGACACCCATGCATCCCTGTGTTTCTGATTAATTTGATAAGTTTACAGTAGGTCATTTTCTTAGCACAATTAATTTATTTATCAGTTTATGTCTTATGGTTATAACTGGCAGATGGTGGCTGTTTACTTATACAAACAAGGTATGAAATCATTCCACCTCAGCACTTAAATTTAAAATGGAGTACTTATGGAAAACTAATGCTTTACAAAATGGAGTAATTCAGATTTAGGGGAGTCTGAAAACTGTTCCTTTATATATCATGGAATGACTCAGAGCAGAGCACAGCCTGTTCTCCGCAGCAGGGCTGGGGATCGAACTCAGGGCCTTGAGCATGATAGGCAAAATTTTATTCTAGGGTGAAACTTAAATTGTGGCATATTCAATGAGTTGTCAAATTGATTTGATTGTCTCCTATGTGACAGGCAAGGTGTTAGCATGAATGATAATCCCAAACCTCAAGTAGCAGTGTACAAGGATGGAAAGACATTAACTAAATAGCTGCATAATGGACATAATCAGGGAAAATTAAAACTATCAAATTATCACAAAAGAGGAAGTGATCATCTCTTTATAGGACCTCTGCTTTAGCAAATAGGCCTGGGGTAATACCTGGGGCCTTGAAGATAAGTAGGAGTTCTTAACAGAGGGAAATAGCAATTGCTCATACAGTGTAGGAAAATACATATGCTCATCATTTACTCACATAATGTAAATATATATAAATGGTTTTTAACATTGCACTAATCTCCTTCTTTTAAAACAGGTTTTGCATGATTTGGAACGGCCTGAAACATGTGGTACAGAATTGGTTTGTTCTGGTTATTTTGGCTATGACCTTTCTCCAACATATATTTGTCTAGAAAAAAATCAAGCATTTGAACTTAGAGGCTTCAATGTTGTAATTGGGCATAAAAGAGGCCTCCTTTGCTCCCACTTAAAAATAAAACTGATAATAATTTCACATATTTGAAAGAGTTGGCAGGGCATACTTAGTCTTAAGGCTTTAGTAAATTTTTTGTGGTTACAGCAAGAACTATTCATGCTGATTCAAACCTGAATCTTCTAACTGAACTCCTGAGTTGACTCCTGGAATTCCTTAGTAGAAAGATTCTTCAAATATAGGCACTAAGGAAAAATTGTAGAGGGGCTCCTGAGACTACATAAAATGCTAAAAGTAGAGACTAAAGCAATATGTAGGATTCTTGTTTATGGATCATTGCTCAATTTCCTTAAGCACTAGTGTTTGGTCTATACATATATATGTATAATTTTATTTTTATATAAAATATAATATATATTATTTATATAATATATATGAACATATATAACATACATATATATGATATATAAATCATACATGTATATGTTTTAAATTTTGGCTTCAATTACTATAACAAAACAGAATGAAGTATCCACAGAGATATATTCAATATATCAGACTATCAGACATTTCACACAGGCTAAAGAGTCTGTGGTAAACACAGATACTCTACGAAAAGAGTTTCAATAAAATATACATACTTTAGAGACATATGTCTTTTCTTTTATTGAGTGTTTGGATGTTTGAATATATAGCTGGAATACAAATTTTCATCAAGAGACTCTACTGTGTATTTTTTAGAATGCTATTATATAGTTCAATTGGTAAATACATTGTTTTTCCAGTGAGATAAATATCGATATCACCTATCACTCACTTTTCAGTCTCAAAATAATGACCTGATTAGTGGCTTACTTCTAATTCCTTTTGCAATTTCAATAATTCACTCTTTTTTTGTTGTTGTTGTTGCTTTCTCAGGAACACTTTGAAAGTCACTTGGTCAAAAAAATAAGACATGATCTTGTTCCTTAGATTTTTGTTTTTCTTTATCCCATATAATACTCACAGGATATAACTCTTTGTGTTGCCATTCCTTAGAAATTAATGAGACATGCCCAATTAATGAGAGTAACATATAAGATTGAGGAGGAGGCCAAAAACTGGTGCTTGATCCACACTTTGGGGAACATGATACTTTACTACAATTCTGACTTCCAGCTTCCTTCTGTAACAGGATTCATCAAATGGAGTTAATCTCTGCTTGGCAAAAGTCCCACCCACTTTACTATGGTGCAGACCACATACATGGGTGGGGAACATTCCTGGGTTGGCCTTGGAAAGCCTATTATCCACTGATCCTGAGAGTGATAATTCATTCAGAAATAATTTTGACTGTCTGCTTTGTGCCAGACATCGCTCCAAGCACTGAGGATGCAGGGAGGATATTGGGAAAGTAGGGACAAAGTCACTGCTTCCATGAAGTATATAGGTGCTAGTTAAGTCAAAGTTGTAATCTCAGTGTCTATTTTTAGTCATGATGGAGATGTGAAGGTGCAAACTACAACATGAATAAGGAAAGGATAGTAATCAACTGAGAGAGGATTTTTACAAAAATGAAAAACAAAAAAAAATTGATTTGTAACATTCATTCAGGATAGCAACTGAACCAGAAAACATGAGCTTAAAAAAATTAAGGCTTAGTAAACTGAGTTTGGCTTAAATATCACACAGTATCAACAACAAAATAAAGCTCAAGCTTCTTTCATAAAAATAAACAGTAAAGAAAAGGTACAAGCGTTGCTTATAAGACAGTAGACAAAGAGCACTTAAACATTTATATTAGAAAATTCATTTGATAAGAAGTCATACATAAATAAAAAAAAACAATTCTGCAATAGTATTATATATAAGTATTATTCTAAAGTTTATTTCATGGTGTGTCTTATTTTGTTACACGTGAAATTTGTTGCACATCATATATTTTTACTTCACAGATTCTGTCTTAAGTGTGCAAACATAGCAAAGCAGAGATATAGGAAATCCAATCCAATCCATAGAATAAAGCACATTAACATGAGTGACTGTTAACGAGGATTATTTCATCCCCATAGATTACTGAACCTTCTAAGCGTTTCTGTTGTTTTGTCATCATATTTGTTCTTCTATTTTGCATTCCAAAAACATTTCCCCAGAGTAGGCTTTCAAGAAGCCTTCCCCTACAGGATTCATTTTTTCTAAATTTCCAAGGCATATGAGTGGATATTTCTACTGAAATGGCCAAACATCTTCCATTTTCTCAGTAGTGTTGTTCAAAATAAAACTTCAAGTTACTTCATTTCTTTCCAAACTCACGTCAGATCCCTTGGTTCAGCCAAATGTTCCATACCCCCAGAAGGGAGCACTAGGGCATGTTATTGGTTCCTAAATTTGCATTGCCATCTTTACTTCCTGTGAGATAAGTAAACCCTTTTGTTGAGTTGGGGAAAACTGCACACCTGTACTTTCAATTTACAATTTGATTTTTACTGCTTTTCACCAAGACACCTTCAACCTTCATAAAACTTTGAAGGAGGACACCCCCAGGGCCGCAGGTTTAACTAGATACAAAATATATGGATATGATGCTCACAGATTTATTACAGGTTAAAGAAACTGGAATTCTGGCTTGCTGATTAGCAATATCCAAGTTGGTTTTTTGTTGTTGTTGTTGTTTTTGTTGTTGTTGTTGTTTGCTTTTGGTACTCTGGAGAGTACCTGATTATCTCTGGGGTCCTCTGACCTGGAGATAACAAGAGAGGAGGGCAAGCTTGGAGAGAATTCATGTCCTCATCCTTCAGCCAGAATGGGAGCATTTAGGGGACGGAGAGTAGCATTTGTCACACAGTACGCTTCATCAGAATCACCTTAGGAAACTGCTTCTCAGAACTCCAATGTTTGTCATTGGAGTAGCTCCCAGAGGTTTTGTATATTGATATTAGGAGCTTTAGATGGGTTTGTGCAAATATTTTTGTAATGTCCAAGTATCATGATTTGGAAAAAAACCTCATTTGAATGCAATCATCTTAAGACCACTGTGTGTGCAAGCTGTACCCTAGTTCAATGGAATAATTTTTCTCTATTTATTCCCTTAAAGGTTCACAGAAATAGAAAAGCCATGTGAGATTTCTTGGTACAATTTCTTCAAATATTGAAGTCTCAAATTTAGGAGACAATATAAAAGAAAGAAAAGGAGGAATATATTGTGCTGATTAGGTAACAAATTGAAAAACCATGGGGCATTTCTGCTTTGGAGAATGAAGCTATCGCAGTGGGAAATAAAGCCCTATGTAAATCACTAGTGAAATTAATACATTTTAAAGGTTATCGGAGCAAAACTGCTGAATCCTATAGTTTGTCATCAGTAAATTAAATGCAAAAATCTCTAATTTAATTTGTATGAATTACCAGTTGATTTCTAATGTATGGAATAATAAGAACTAATGCTATTTTATGAACTGGAAATGAGATTTTTTTTATTTTCAAAAGAGCAAAAAGCAAGAAATAAAGTTGATTCAGAGCCCAACAACCTTTTAGTTAGAGCAATTTGTTGACTTCTAAAAGGAGAAAAAAAATCTCTTTCTGCATTATATTTGCAATTTTTTTCATTCAAACATATCACAGATGAAATGTCGGGTGGCAGTGCCTTTCTCTCAAGCCAGTCTGGTTTCAACC